CAATATTGTCCAGTGGCTTTGTGGAAGACACATGGCAAGGAAGGACTGTATCCTGGCCGGCAACCCCCACTACATTCTGGGGCGAGGTGACCTCAAAATTTTCTGTGGAAATCAAACTTGAGTAAGCATCTGGCTGAAATCAATCAGAATATCTGCTAGTGTGAAGGACACAGAGGACTGGGACAAACATTTTTGCCTGTCCCAGAGAATCGGGAACAATTGAACATTACAAATATTCACTAATGACCCTGGTCCCTTTTGTTAACGTCTGTTCAGGTCATGAGACAATAGATCACAACACAAAGATGCCAAACAAAAGAAAAGATCAAAAAAAAGCCCAGGAGAATTTGGGGGAAAATTGTCAATTTGGAAAAAACTTAGGAAAGCATAATTTGGTAGGATTATGGAGGGGGCGGGGGGGAAAGCTTAAAGACAAGTACAGAGACATTTCTTCTAGCTTCCCAGCCTTCCTTGACCATTTACAACCCCGTGTCACCAGCAGTGCGGCAGCTGTGCTGATGCAAACTGCCCGAGCAGGCAGGGAAATGCTATTGGCAGTGTGGCAGGGGGAGATACGGCAGAGCTGCGTTGGCTTGGGGCTTCCTCATCTCCAGCAAGGGATAGAAACTCAGGCTGGAAACATGTGGGTTCCCCAACAGCAGAGCGGCAGGGCAGAGCTGGCTCTTTCGGAGTTAAAATGAGGTCTTCTCGGGAGACCAACCCTCAGCTTGAGCGCTTCTTATCATCTGCAGATTGTAATCCCTCAGAAACGGGCAGAACAGCATATGAAAGCGTTACCTGAGAGAGGGATGGCTGTAAGCAGTGCCACAGCAACCAAGAGCCAGCTCCTCTGTTCCATACCTACAGTCACACATGTGGGACGATCATGCAGCGGACCTGAAACAGGCATAGAAGGGAAGTACGCAAAGAAGGGGAATCCTGTCCTAAACCCATCTGATCTCTCTCAAATGGCACTTGCCATTGACTGCGCCTTCTGAAGGTGCAAAGCGCTCAAGTAGATTAGCTTAAACATTAGGAAAACTTGTGCCTTTCCAGAGATCCCAATTAACCATGCAGCTTCTGGTAATTTCTCGCTGTGTAACGTGCTCCCAAGACTTTGTGACGGGGTATGCAAAGGAGAAAAATTCAACCCAGCTCCCACTGCTTGTTGCAAAATCTGATGGAAACCTTAACACACTAGCTGAAATCTCTGGCCTGGGTTGTACGAGTTTCTCTGTCCGTGCTCTGAGATGGGGGGGAAAGGAGGAAGAAACTCTGTTTACCCAATCCCACCTCGGGTTCGGAGGATGAAGAAACCATCCTGAAGATACTACTCCCTGAGAAGCATCAGACTGCAGAGGGACAGTGCATCACCTCTCATACAAGCCTGATATACTTTAGGGAGCTGCACCAGGGCCAGCTTTGCTGCAATACGCCAAAGAACTTGCCCTTCGATGGCTCTGGATCTCTTTGTGGACTTTGACATTTCCAGTATGTGGTTGACTGTCCTTATCTCAGTCTCCATAGCAACACTTTCGGTGTGATATCTCTATTAATTTATTGTTGTTCAATATTCCATGTAGAGTGAGCAGCAAGGGAGGTAGGACATCCTGATGACTCCCAAGCAGCAACTAAGCACCCTGCACTGCAGTGTCTGGATACTCCCCTACATCTCAGAGAAGGTGGCCTGCAGGTCTCACAGCTACATCTGATGTGACCAAACTGATTGCTGTTCAAACAGGCGTGATGGTGTGGCAAGCCAGACGGCCAAGGTTAATTCTTGTGCTGGGAAGGCAGCTACCATTTTTGGCTGACTGTATTACACACAAGTGGAATGGCAGGGGAAGTATTCACTGACCCGGTTGTAATCACAAATTCTCCCTCTTTACTTGCTGAAGAGAGACAGGGACTCCCGGAGGTATTTCATCCAACTAGCCCCAGACAGCTGTCATTGGGATTCCTCTCCACTCATCTTTCATATCCATAGCACAGGCTTTTCCCTCTGAGCTCTTTGCTCTTAGCTCTATTTATGGTACATGGAGGTAAACGGCAGCTCGTAGGTCTCACATCCCCCCAAAAAGCCACAGGTTTTAGTGTGAGCCGACCACAGCGTCAGCTCCCCTGACTGCATTGCCCACATCTCCATAACCTACACAGGCAGGTCGGGGCATTGAATATGACACTGCAACTGGCACTAAATTTCATAAATTATCATGTTAAATCCTGCTCTTTCTACTCTCCGTGAGGTTTCATAGGTTTGGACATGAACTAAGTTAGTGCTTTGCAGGCAATTATCACGTGAGGCCATATGAAATTTTGTTGGAGACATTAATTTAGAAATATAATATGGAAAGGGGATGTGTTGAAGCCAATCAGGTGCAAATGGAGCTTTCTTGTTGGGGACACCAAAGGACAAGCAGTTATCCTGCTGAAGCCCATTGTTTAACACCAAAGGTGGACCTTATTTCAGGATTGAAGCTGGATTTTACCTGTTTTCCAGTAAGAACAATCTCCACATCTTCAATCTATGTATTAAAGATAAACTTTGATCAGTTCATTAAGAGATTAACTTTGAACAGTTAAACCGAAATGAAGAATGAAATATTAAAGATTAACTTGGGGTGTGGCTCTGCCTAGAGGTCACGTATCAGTTCTCTTTAAGACAGATGTTTTCTTGTCAGGTTGCATTGGGAATGGAGGTATGGTTTCCCTGGGACATGCAGACACCATTTAGAGAAATCAGCCTGGAATGGGCCTAATTTGGCCTTTCAAGAAGGTCATGTCTTTGAACTGAAGTGCTCTTGTCTTTTCACTGCCCTTGCCACTTAGTGTCACTTTTCACAGCTGTTTCTTCCTTGAAATCCTATGCCAGAAGAATTTCTAGCTTCCCTAGAAATTATATGATATTGGGAGTGCTGTGGGGAGACGGGAAATGGACACATCAAAACAGAATCCTCTCCATGAAGGCGTGAAGGGAGGAAGAAGGAGAGAAAGTGTTACGTGTGGGGGAGGAGGACCAGGTTAAGCAGCCTTAAACTAATTTGACAAAGGGAAGTCCATACGTTATCCCCACAAATGCTGAGGGGTCTGGCTGAGGTCATTGCAAGGCCACTCTTGATTATCTTTGAAAGGTCATGGTGACTGGGAGAGCTTCCCAAAGAGTGGAAGAGAGCAAATGTCACTCCTAACTTCAGGACGGACAAGAGAAAGATGCAGGTAACTACAGGCCAGGCAGCCTCACCACAGTGCCTGGGAAGGTGATGGAGAAATCCTCCTGGAAACCATTTCCAGAAACAGGAAGGACAAGGTGGTGATTGGGACCAGTCAGCATGGGTTTACAAAGGGATGCGGTGCATGCTGTTTATCTTGACTTTAGTGGGATTTTGGCAATGTTTCCAATAACATCCCCCTAGACAAGCTGACAAAGCATGGGTTAGGTGAGTGGACAGTGAGGTGGATCCCTCAGGGGGTGGAAACTCTCTGAACAGCCAGGCTCTATCAGGTTTGTAGTGAACACAGGGAGAGGAGGGATTCGGGGGTGAGAAGAGAGCAGGGAAAGGACCAGGACCAGAACCAGGAGCAGGTATTTCCCTGCAGCCTGTGGACAGGACCATGCCAAAGCAGAAATTCACACTGAAGCCCATGGAAGACCCCACAGTGGAGCAGTGGGATATGTCCTGAAGGAACTGTTGCTCATGGAGGAGCCCACATCGGAGCAGGTTTATCCTTAAAGACCACAGCCCAAGAAGAGGACCCATACTGGAACACGGGGAATGTGTAAGGAGGAAGGAGCAGCTGAGAACTGTTACCTTATGGACTGAGCATAACTTCCCACTCTTCTTACCCCTGCACCACTTAAGGGAGGAGATTGGGGTAGGAGTTGGGGATGACGGGTTGAAGTTGAGCCTGGGAAAGGCAGGGGTGGATGTTTTAATACTGCCTTTGTTTCTTGATATCCCAATCTATTTTAACTGTCAATAAATTTAATTAATTCTCCCCAAGTTGAGTCTGTTTTGCCCGCGTTGGTAATTGGTAAATGATTTCCTTGTCTTTATCTTGACCCATGAGGTTTTGCATCTTACTTTATCCCCCTGTCCTTTTTGAGGAGGTGTGGTGGTTTTGGCCGGGATACGGTTAATTTCCTTCATAGCAGATGGTATGAGGCTATGTTTTTGATTTGTGCTGTAAACAGGGTTGATAATAGAGGGATATTTTAGTTATTGCTGAGCAGTGCTTACACAGAGTCAAGGCCTTCTCTGCTCCTCAGCCCACTCCATCAGTGTTTAGGCTGGGAGTACACAAGGAGCTGGGAGGGGACACAGCCAGGACAGCTGACCCCAAGTGGCCTAAGGGATGTTCCAGACCATATGACGTCATGCTTGGCATATAAAAGTGGGAGGAGAAGAAGAAGGAAAGGGGGGGATGTTCGGAGTGATGTCATCTGTCTTCCCAAGTAACCGTTACACGTGGTGGAGCCCTGCTCTCCTGGAGATGGCAGAACGCCAGCCTGCCGAGGGGAAGTGGTGAATGGATTCCTTGTTTTGCTTTGCTTGCCTGCGGCTTTGGCTTTACCTCTTAAACTGTCTATTTCAGCCCATGAGTTCTCTCACTTTCACCCTGCCGATTCTCTCCCCATCCCACTGATGGGACTTACCTGCTGGCTGGGGTTAAACCCCGAGAGAAGGGCGAGTGAGAGGTTCAGGTGGGTGGAGGTCTGGCAGCCAGGCAAGGCCAATCCACTGCAGCCGGTGAGGCCCATGTTTTGTCAAAGGCCAACTAGTAGGAGGCAATCCATACCAGATGTGCAATAGTGTCACACTTCCAGCGGCCTGTAGCCATGACTGCACAGGTATACATTTAGTTTTCTCCATCACCCTCGGCTGTGACAATCATGTCCTCCAGATGCAGAACAATACCTGTTTCAGACCACATATTTCTCAGGAGAACAGAGTGTCTGGGAATGGCTCTACATCTGAGATGGAATTCTTCCACTCTATTGAATGCAAGTGAAGGTGCTGATGGTTTCTTCGGACTTAGATGTCTACCATGGTGGCACCCAAGTCAGTGGAGAGAATAGTAACACATCTCCTCCTTCTGTGAAAACCATGATTGAGAGCGCCAGTCTTGATAAGGACAAGGTCCTTGGCAGGTTCAGTGTCCTCACACATTGAGTCAAATGGGACATTTATCACTGCTGACAATTCCGCCTGCCTCCCAGGGAAAGAGGTGAGACACCTCAGGGAAGAAGCACAGAGGTGACATGCAGCAGCTTCTGCAGTGACCCTGCTGGCAGCTCAGTGGTGCTAGACCTGCTAGCCAGCCTCCTCGGTCTTACTTTGTATCTCTTGAGCTGATTTTCTTTTGGATACAGCTGGGGAGACTTTCCATTCTTTTCAAAGCATCAGACTCCTAATTTCTCAGTGAGAAGCTCTCCCATCCCATTGACTAAGAGGATGGTGAGAAGCATGGGTATGTGAGGATGGGACATTTAGTAGGAAGCCACTGCCATGAAATGGAGCTGGGGACGGTGAGGCTAAACATAGGTGCAACGTTCCCCTTTGGCATGGGTGGTGGACCTGCCTGGCTGCTCAGACTATGAATGAACATCCTACCTACTCTGTTCTCACAGGTTTTACAGCAAGTGTCCTCAGGGAGGAAGTTACATGGCTGCGCAGATAAACCACAGCCATACGTGCTTTTATGATTGGAAGAGTTGTAGTTTGCACACTTTGTTTCCTCATTGGTGTAGCTTCTCCAAAGTGTGAGTTCAGATTAAGCTCTCTCAAGTTGAAGGATTGAACATCATGGGAGTGCCAAACAGCTCTGATCCTAGCCCAGCTGTAATAATTTTTGTGTTTCATGTGAAAAGCCATTCTGTTGCTACTAGCAAGGACCAGAGTGTTTCCTTTGTCCCAGTACACAGGGACAACATCTGATATGGGCAACATCATGGGAGGGGAAAACAAACAGAAAAAAAAAAAATATCTCATTTGAATTAAAAGCAAAAAAGTTAAGTTGTTTTAATCCTAACCCTGTTATTATCTTTTGCAGTGGTATTGAGCTCATGATAAGAAGATTGGGTGCTTGATTCAGCTGCTCACATGCAAACCTCTAGTGACAATAGAGATGCTCCAGGCTGTCACTCCATGCACTCCCAGAAGGGTACAGGTCTCCTCCACATAAGATCTGCCCCACTCACATGTTTGTAGTCAGTGGAGTTTAAGAAGCTTTTCAGGTTGACTAGCTGAGACATTTCTACCTTCAGATGCTAATTTGCCCTGCAGGCATTTTGGAGCAGAAACTATAGTTCAGGTGAGCCACTCAAGGCACATTTAGAGAATCAAATCAGCCCTTAGAAATTTCCCTTAGAGTGAGAATATTCCAATGAAATTACGTTTCTCTTCCAAAGTGTGCTCTGGCCTAAGATCATGCTCTAGGCCATGCCAGGAAGATTTCAAGACAGATGCGAGATTCAGCCGCAAATTGAGACAGAGCGTTTGTATGCTTACAGGAATCTGTTGCAGTGATGACTTTGCTAAATATGTCAGCCAAAGCTCCTCAGGTCAAAGAAGACCCATGTCCAGTTGGTTCATCATTTCTATCCTCATCTTTCTGAGATGAGAACAGACCTAGCTCCTAGGAATGATGGGGATTTTCAGGTGTCTTTCAGCTTCTCTGTTGACAGATGCATACCCAAAACTTTATTTTTGGTGCAGCTAGCTGTATTGCATTTACATGATCCTGGTCAACCAGTTCCAGTTGGCCCTACTTGAACAGTGAGTTCGGAGGAGATGACCTCCAGAGGTGCCTCCAACCTGAACTAGGATGTGAAACAGTTCCCCACTGCAGCAATTCCCTTGGGGGAGAGCAGGGTAGGGAGGATAAGCACCCTGAAGACATTTCGTCTCTTCACAGTGTCTGTGCAGACTGTGTGTGTGAGGGAGGAAAACCACAGAAGCAAGGATGTGATCTCTTCATCAGCAGTGCTTCCTGAAATGGAACGAGCTTGTTTGTCTCTGGTTTTGCTTTGAGAAAAACACTCCTCATAGTGCCCTGTAAAGTTAGGGGTTTGGCATTTTTTTTAATCGTACAGTGCACAATCAGCAAACCCACAGAATGGAAAGCTATGGTCAAGAAGCCAAGGTATGGCTTCTGTACCTAGCAATCACTGCATGGTTTCACTGGCTAACTGGTTCCCAGTGTCATGTTCCTGCCTGATTGGCCTCATAAAATTTTTCTTTCAATGCAGCCAGAACCTGTCCTGCTTCAGTTCTGAAATCTTGGTATTTACTCCTAAAAAAGAGTTTTAAAATATTGTTTTTAGTCAGTATCAGGGAAAATTACTGAGTCACTCATATGTTAAGGATAGACCTACATTATCATTACAACATCCAGTCTTGACAATCATTACTGAGGACACCTTAGTTTGTAAAGACCTCAGCCATTGTGAAATTTTAAAAGTTCCTTTATCTTTCAGTTAGTGCAATGAAATTTTAAAGAATTCCATCAATAATGACCTCTTACAGTAGCTTCCTCTTTAGGTTTTTGCATTTTCCACCTCATTATCTGTCAGCATTTATTTCATTTACACCCTTTTTTCACATTGGTTCAAACATAAGGAAAACACTATATTTCTAAAAAATTACGTGATGAAACACACAAAGATCCACCTAAAAGAGAAAACTGGATTAAAACAAAGAAGGATCATAGAATGGTTTGGGTTAGAAGGGACCTTAAAGATCATCTAGTTCCAACCATCCTGCCATGGGCAGGGACAACTTTCACTGGACCAGATTTCTGAAAGCCCCGTCCAACCTGGGCTTGAACCCTTCCAGGGAGGGGGCAGCCACAAACCTCTCTGGGCAGCCTGTGCCCATGTCTCACCACCCTCACGGAGAATAATTTCTTCCTTAAATCTAATCTAAATCTTCCCAATTTCAGTTTAAAACCATTACCCCTCATCCTATCCCCACACCCTCTGATAAAGAGTCCCTCCTCACCTTTCCTGTAGCCCCCTTTAAGTACTGGAAGGTTTCTGTAAGGTCTCCCCGGAGCCTTCTCTTCTCCAGGCTGACCACCCCCAACTCTCTCAGCCCGGCCTCCCAGGGGAGGTGCCCCAGATCCCTGAGCATCTTCATGGCCTCCTCTGGACCCGCTCAAGCAGATACATGTCCTTCTTATGTTGCAGGACCCAGAGCGGGACACAGCACTTCAGGTGGGTCTCACAAGAGTGGAGTAACGGGGGACAATCCCATCCCTCGACCTGCTGGCCACATTTCTCTTGTTGCAGCCCAGGTTACAGTTGGATTTCTGGGCTGTGAGCGCACATTGCTGGCTCACAGTGAGTTTTCCACCCACCAATACCTACAAGTCCTTCTCCACAAGGCTGTTCACCCACTCCTCACCCAGCCTGTATTTGTGCATGGAATTGCCCCAACGCACGTGCAGGACCTTGCACTTGACCTTTTTGAACTTCATAAGGTTTGCATTGGCCCAGCTCTCAAGCCTGTCAAGGTCCCTCTGGATGGCATCCCTGTCCTCCAACATGCCAACAGCACCACACATCTTGGTGTGTGGATGCGATAGTGCAGGAGAAACTGCAGGGATAACTACTTTCTAAAGTCTAAAACTTTTTCCAAAAAGCTATGGAAGATGAAGATATAACCAAAGAAATGCAGAACATTATGTGTACTTCTCTGAACACAGGCACTGCTGGAGCTCTGTCATGGCCATGCCAAACACTTGTACCATTGCTTTGGGTGGTTCCTTCTTTGCTCACCAGCCTCACAGCTCAATCTTGCATCAGTTATCAGGTTGTGTTCTGACTTTCCCAACCCCCTAGAAATCTCCCTGTTCAATCATGTGTGCGTGAAACTCCAGCTGGTCTCCCCGTTTCGTTCTCAGTTGGTGTCAGAACAGAAGAACAGGCAAGCTCAACCCCAAGGCATGCAACTCCACTTGGTACGAACTTCACTCAGCCTTGCTCTCCTTGTCAGTCCTCATGCAACTCCTGACATGCAATGAAGGGAGAAGAGCTCCACTGGTGTGGAAAATAACACAGTGGGTTTGAGTTTAAAATTCTGAACACAGACGCCAAATGTGCATGCTGCTCGTTAATGCTCATTCCCAACTTCCCTTGTTGTGAGCAACAGGTCAGAATTGCTTTTTTCCTTCAAGAAAACTGGCTCACTTGAGGATAAATGGACTATTTTAGTTTATGCAGTCATGCTTTTATGGTGATACAGACACAGACACTTGACTTGTGCTCAGAAAGCTTTATTGCAATTATACACTAGCTATTGCTTGCAAGTGGGAAGAGTGCAAGCCAGCAAGATGTTCAGGAAGGACCAGCTCACATTTCTTCCACCCTTTAAGACCTGAAGATGCTTCCTGCTTCTTTGCTTATTTCTTCCTGACTTTATGCAAAGGCAAAAACTGAGTCTTCAGGACTGTCTAGATTACAGGATTAGAACTACCAGTTTTGGGTACGGATGTAGCAAAATTGGGACCAGAAACTAGACAGTGGATTGAAGAAAGAGGTAAAAGAGCAACAAAATGAGGGCCAGGAAGTAGGAAGGGAGATAATAAGGTGAGCAGCGCTGTCTGATTGGTACCTGTCAGCTTGATGACCGTATCTGGAGCAAGACGATAAACCCAACTTTCTCTTCTGACCACACTGTAAGAGCCAGACCTGCTTTGGCAGTCAGGAGGACTGAGGTGGGAGCACGGTGGGTGCTTTCCCTAGCAAGCCCAGGATGGACAGATCAAACATCCTGGTGGTGCCTCATCAACACCTGCTCTGGCCCTTTCAGCAACAGTAGCTGCCCACCTCATCAGAACGAAGTGTTATTCCTGGAGGAGATGTGGTCACGTCAAAAGCAAGAGGCATATTTTGTTCAACCGCTGGTTGTCTTGTTGCCCATGTATCTCTAACAGCACGGTCTACAACTTCATTTATTTTTTTCTCTATATTTCTTAAATCTATGTTTTTCCAGAAATTAGTATCAACACGCTGGAGAGAAGGTTTCACCTTCTGTTCCATTATCAGCTCTGCACCCTCTTTCTTCATTTCTTTAATATGTTTCCATGTTTCTTTCTTTAATAGGCTCTTCAACTCCTCTTGCTGATGTCCTTCATGATTGCAGCAGAACCAGAAGGGGTATATGTTGTACAGGCCATAAAGAATGACAACAGCAGTAAGAATGAACAGCCCTGCAACCTGGAAGAAAAAATATTAAAACTAATGCTGTCAGTGGACTCTATGTTCCTCAAAATGTTTTGCACCTGAGTGAGAAGAATACCATATTAAAAACCTTGCACTATTATTAAGTCACATAGTTCTTATAAAATACATTCCTTGTTCCTGCCATGGCTAGATGACAACTGATGGTAAGAGATAGACTCGCCATAATAAGGAATGTCAGTCTGTCTCTCTCAAACAGTACATTCTCTTATTTCTTATTTTCATAAAACTTGCTTAAAGAACCAGATGCAAAGCAGATGCTTAAACCTCCAGAATAACCATGGAGTAAGATGTTCAAAGTTCAAGTTTTAGCCCCAGAAAGAACATGATAAGTTTTATTGATAAACATTAATTAAAAACAGAAACAGGGAAAAAAAAAATAGTAATGCAAATGTAGTAAACATACAAAATAAAAATCATAATTGCAACTTAACATTCATTCTCTGGATGAAATGGTTTCCATATTGCTATACATTCCAAATTCTTCATACACACAAGATAGTTGATATTAAAATATCTAAACTCCTAGATTGCTAGGACTCTTACCTGAGATAATATGTAGAACTCACTGGGGAATTCTGCTGCTCTGTTTTGGTTTGTATTTTGAGTGCTGTTTCCTTCCTTTGTTGAAGCCACACAGTCTATATATCTGCCATCACACAGTAGGATCACACACCAAATCAGAGGAGGTAGAAATGCCTTAAAAATTATCTCACTCTTCTGGCAGCATGACCATTTCCCAATACAGCGAGCGCAAGGAATGCAGGCAGGGTGGGAGGTCAAGCTCAGGAAAAATGTAATGAACGCTGGACAGAAAAAGTAGGAAATAACGTACAATTTCTTTAATGATTCCTTCTGAGGACATTTAAATTCAATTTCCATTATTTCCTCGAGAACAATCAGAATTATGGAATAAAATGATACAGATAACACATTATAATGATTTTTCAAAAAACTTATTAATTCCTTTCTGACTTGCATTTTGTTCAACAGTCAATACTTCACCACCTCAGAGGAGTAAGGAAGTCTTCTATGCCTCTACAGCACACAGCTTCTCTTCTTACACACTTTCTATCACCATGTCTGCAAATGATTAAACAGCAGAGCGGAAGTGAAAATTAAAACACGCACCGTAATTGTGTACTTATACATCTACAATCTGACTTTGTAGATTTTGAAACTTGTGGTTTCAGATGTCAAGTGTTTTGTACAGAGTCAAAAAAGCACGTACTAGTACTAGTTGAGGTTGGAAGGGACCTCTAGAAGTCATGTGGTCCAACCCACCCTGCTCAAACAGGACCACCTGGAGCCAGTTCCCCATGACCTTGTCCAGACAGCTTTTTAATATCTCCAGGGATGGATATTCCACTAACTCCTTATGTAACAATGTCTGTAAGACTCGGGGACCAGTTTGGGGCTCAATGTCCCTACTGCATTTTTCTGTCCATATGACATCTTTCTTGGAAAAGCACCTTGATTGGATAAGAGGCAACAGACATAAGCTGCAACAAGAGAAATTCCAATTAAATGTAGGGAAATTTTTTTTGGTAGCTTTTTGGTGGTCGAATATTAGAACAAGCTGCCAACTTCGGAGGAGTTCAGGGCTTGAGCATCCTCATATACTAGACCTGCTTTGATCAGAGCATTGGACTAGATGACTTCCAGAGGTCCCTTTCAACCTAAATTATTTTATGTTTCCTTGGGGTTTTTTCCCTCGTTGCTACAGGGTAAAGAGGATAATGTAATTAAAAATGAGAAGCCATTGCTTCTTGCCATTTTATTATTGCCATAATCAGTGTCATGCCATAAAGTTTGCCAAGGTGATGGGAGTTGAAACCAAGTTCCAGCTATGCTTCTACAGACTGAGACCCCAAAATAAAGAGGTATAAAATTAATCAGAGGAGGAGTACAGATAGTGCTCAAACCTGAAAATTAAGTTCTTCAATACAATGTGAAACTGAGTGGGATGCAATGAAAGATGCCTAGAGAAAGAAAAATAAAGTCATGGTGTGCTGATATAGATTCAGGTGGTTAACCAGAATGTGAATTGGGATTTTCTCATCCAGCTTGAGCTGCTTTGTAGACAAGTTAGAGAAGTCTGCTCTAACATTAATTTAGTTGCTAGAAGTCACAGTAACAATTATTAAACAAGAATATTCATGGCCTCTGAACTCAGACTGATAATAAACAGCTATTTTGCCTCGAGGTAAAGGATGTACAATGCAGCAATACATGAGGAAGTGCTCTAAAACCACCATGTAAAATTAGTTCTCATATGTGAGATCTCTGCACTGACTGAAAGTATAGTCAAGACCATTTATGATGAAAGCTCCCATAATTGCTTCGAGGTTTTGACTGTAGTTGTTTTGAACACTGTATTACACCATCACCTTAGCTCTCTGTTCATCTATGTTATGCAGTAACTAACTTGTAACTGGACTCTGAACTGTGTCCATTCTGTGGCCCAAGGATAGGCGCAGGCTGCACCAAATCTGGCTTTCTTCTCCCAATGTAATCATCACAGGGTACTCCTGCAGACCTGGACTCTCATGTCCCACCTGTGACTCACACATGTGTGATCTGCAGCTCCAGGCTCTGCCAGATCCACAGCAAAGCCATGTCTTCACTTATGTACACTAAACCATGCAACAGGTTGACAGAACCTCAATAACCAGCCTCCTGCCTTCGTCTTGGAGGTCCAAATGGGCAGCTGAGGGATGCAGAGGAGCAAAGTGCTGCCCATAAAAAAATCCAGCCTTGATTTGCTGGCAGCAATGATCTGTTCCTTGGGCACGGACTACATTGTTACGGTGCTCCTTGCAGAGGCACCTGGTTGGCAGAGGATCTGTGGGTGATGACATATAAATGATTTGTTCAGAAGTAAGAGGTTGATGTGTATCCTCTGTCTTTGAGTGATACCTCTGAACAGAGCTGGGGGAGATGCTTTACTCTGGGCTGGTGGGGCCACATGTCCGGGGAGGGAGCTGTCGTCCCCTGTGCCCCACGATGCAAGGGTTCCCCTCCCTGCTGTCATTGCCCCGGCAGAGGTGACCTGGAAAAGTGCTGAGATAGGGATGGCTGAGCCCGTCTTCCCATAGTCAGGTCCGAGGGGTGATTGTACCTGCCCCTCTGCAACCCACACCCACCCATCTGTGGGTGGTTCAGGGATATTCAGCTGAAAACATCATCCAGCAGACAGGAGCGGGATTGTCCAGTGGCAGGACAGATGGTGATGGGGTCTTGGCATCTTGCACTGGGAAGAGTACAAGAAAGACACCTTCTGGCATTTTTGCCTGTCTTCCTATTCACAGGAATGGACCATTGTTGCATTTGAAGGAGGTGATCCTTGAATATTAACCAGATTTCCTGGGCCCCTTATCCTGCAGGACTCTTCCAAGCATACCTCTGAAGATGACAGTTTGCTCTCCTGAAGTCCAGGGCTGTGAGCTTGCTTTTTACCCTTCTCCCTCTCCCCAGGACCCTGAGCTCCACCATCTCATGGTTGTTGCAGTCAAGGGTGCCTTCGACCTTCAAATTTCCAGGAAGACCCCTGTGCTTGGTGAGTAGGAGATCCAGCAGAGGCCCTTTCCTCATTGGCTCCTCTATCACTTGGAGGCAGAAGTTATCAACAATACACCCCAGGAACCTCCTGGATTGCTTGTGGACTGCTGTGTTGTCCCTCCAGCAGATATCAGGGTTATTGAAATCCCCACCAAGGACCAGGACCTGCATATATGAAGATACTCCTGTCTGTCTGTAGAGGGCCTAATCCACTTGTTATTCCTTATCATATGGCCTGTAGCAGATTTCTACTCTAATGTCACCTGTATCTCTCCTCTCCTTAATCCCATCCCATGAGCCCTCCATTGGCTCCTCAACCATCCCCAGGTGAGCTCTGTGCACTCCAACTGCTCTCTCACATAACAGACAACTCCCTCTCCACATCTTCCCAGACAGAAGACCCTGTGTGCCTCCATTGCAACACTCCAGTCACGGGAGCCATTCCACCATGTCTCCCTGATCCTAACAAGATTATAGCCCTGAAACTGCACCCAGGTCTCTACTTCATCATCATTATTCACCATATAGCATGCTTTAGTGGGAAGGAACTTCACAGAAGCACCTCAACATGTTGACTGTCTAGAAAGGGGCTGGGGGATTTCTCTGTAATGGTGTCTTGCATGCAACTCCTTGTTGAAATGCAACTGCTGGAAGTGACCCCGTTTAAACCTCATTTTGTGGAGATTGTGTTGCATTTCTGTCACATCGTCCCATGACCTTTGCTCATCAACCCTGTATGTCACTCCCTCACAAGACTGCCAGTTAGTGTCTCCATCCCCCATGATTCTCAGTTTCAAGGCCTCCTTACAGGGACAACCATCTTATTGGAAAAAGTAGCTTTCCCCTGCTTGATGAGGTGGGTCCCATCTCTCCAAAGTGGACACTGATCTACAAACAGGATCCAGTGGACATAGACCCCAAAAGCCCGTTGCCCAAATCAAATTCACAGCCAGTTCTTGGCTTCTAATATCAGTACAATCCTCCTCATAACCTTTCCACCCTTAACAGCAGGATGGAGGAGAAAACAACCTGGTCCCCCATGCCCTTGATTACAACCCCCGGAGCCCAATAGCCACCACTGACCATGCCCAGGTTTCCTGTGGCACAATCACTTGCATCCACATGGAAGAACAGTGGGCAGCAGCTGACAGAAATGGGTAAAGGAGAGTGGGGTACAAGGGGCAGGAGGGCTTTGCAGGGAGGATGCTGCCCCCAAGGGACGGGCAAACCGAATTCGTGCTCCGGTGCCTGAGTGTATGGAAATGAAAGGGGGAGCTCTGTACTCTGTAGGCGCAGGCTCTGCAGTGGGGGCTGAGGCAGGGCCCCCACTGCTCACAGCCTCTCGTTGTGGGAAAGGCACTGCTGGCCACAGAAATACAGCAGGACCACTCCCAGGCGCGCGGCAAGCCACGGGCCAGGCAGCTCTTGAACCGCTGTCCCCAGCTCAGAGCAAAGCAGACGCTTCAAGGACACGGTGCTCCCGCAGTGCCCCAGAAAATGCGGGGGCAGCTGGGATGTGCCAGGCTGTGTCCTCCCAGCCCTGCCTCCCTCCTGCTGCTGCTTGGTGAGTCGGGGATTTCTTTGCCTTGGGGCTCAGGACCAGAGAGTTGCCGAGCGGGACAGGACACGGGATAGGGTGGTAAAGGGTGTGCGGAGAAGCTGGGCAGAAATGAGGGGCAGAGTTGCAATGAGGGGAGGAAGATGATGGCCTCCTCCATTTACAGCACAGCTCTGAGCAAAGGACACATGATTCCAACCCCTGTAAGGTGGTTCAGGTAGCAGTGGGAGCCTTGGTAGGTGTTGGAGAGCTTTAGGGAGCCAGGGTCACCCAGCTGGAACTACAGATGCACCCAAAATGGCCTTGGGGTGTTTTCAAGACATGAGACAAAGGAGATACAGGATAGAGAGGCATGGCTGGGGAGGCCTCAGCAAGGAATCAGCAGTGGGGACTTGTGCAAGGACATGTGCATGAGCCAGGTCACTGCCCCTGTAACCAAAACCCTCTCTGTCCCATGGTGCAGGTGCTGGCCTGACTGTCCAGGACATCTGCAGCTCCCCAGGTGAGGAAGAAAAGGGAGATGCATGGGGCTGGAGATGGGAAGGGAGATGGAATTTATTCCCCATGTGTGGACCCTGGAGAGGATACTCTTCCCTGCCTAGGTCCAGGGCATTTTGCATCCATGACAAAACTAACACTGCCCCATCTCTCCAGGTGATCTCCTGGCTCCAGAACTCTTCCTGAACACCTCCATCGCTCGGGAGGGAGAAACGGTTGTGTTTCGCTGCTTGATTGACTGGCAGTCTACAGTGACCCGAATTGTGTTCTGCAAGAACGGGGTGGAGGTCTACAGCCTGAAAGCCCAGCAGGGTCATCTGAGTTACATCTTGCTGCTCAACATCACCATGGGGAGCAGAGGGACGTATGCGTGTGGGTACCAGCACCGGAATGAGAGGAATTTGGTGAGGAGCTCTGCCCTCAGTACACCTCGAAACCTGACTGTCACAGGTGAGATGTGGCACTGGGGCACAGGCAGACACTGGCCCAGGGCTCCACAGTCCCCAGAGGGGTTTTGGGACCCTGTTGTACCCCATGGTGTGTCCCCGAGCAGTTGGGATGCCGGAGGTCAGTGTGGAGTTCATACCAGCCTTTGCCACCATCACAACTCCTCCCAGCCATGGGAGAGCATCCTGCTCCTCTCCTGCCCCCAGCACCACGGGAAGGGGACAGTGGTGGTGACAGATGGAATCCAGAGGCAGAGCTGTGCGATCCACTGATTTATTTATCACAACTCTTGATAGATGGTGGATCATGGGCTTCCCCACTGCTGCTTAGTTGTGCAGTACCTGGGGGAGCTGGAGACTCTCACCCTGTCCCTTTCTCCTCCCAGGCAGCCGGTCCAGCTCCCAGGCAGGGACACCGACCACAGGTGAGTGGTTCCCTCCCCACACACCCACTGTCCCCCAGAATCAGGCTGAGGGATGTGGGCTGCCGACCCCAGAACACAGGGAGGTTCATCAACCAGACTCTGGGCTCTACGGGCATGTCCTGCTATCTCCTGCTTCTCCCCACTGATGCACCCTCTTGCCTAACACCTTCTGTACCCTCCAGCTCCCCATCCCGGGCTCCTCGACAACTTCCCCACAGGCATCGTGCTGGGAGTGGCGGCCAGCTCCCTCCTCCTCCTGGCTGCAGCCATCTCCTGTGCTGTGAAAAAAGGTGAGGGATTTAGGGAAATTGAGGATAAACCTCCAGGCATAAATAACACAACCTGATGCAGGGACACTGCTATTTAGCCAATGCCAGTTTCGGATGATCGGCTCCTTACTCCCATTTGATGGGAAGACGAGCCCCTTAGGCTTTTGATGCATGACTTGGGTGGAGAAAAAATGCCAGGATGGGCAAGAAGTTTACTCTGGAGTAAATACACTTGCTTCTCAATGTAGTCGTGGAGAGACCAAATGCATCCCTGCCCCAGGCAGACATTTGCTCCCAGCCCTCTGGGCAGGTAAAGGGAGTCTCCCAGCTCGCCTGAGCAGAGCAAGCACAGCTCCTCGACACTTGGGCTGTGCACGGCTGCTGAGAGCTTGGGAGAAGCCAGTCAGGGAGACAGGACACAGAGATGCCTGGGCTGGGCTGGGCAAGTCCCTCCCTGAGTGAGCTGCGGAGCTCCAGCCCATCATCTTCATCGTGCAGCCCAGCACATGGAAAGCCGATGCCGAGCAGTAACTCTGCTTCCCTACCCCTCCCTTTCTTTTTCTTGCAGTGGCCTGCAGAGAGAGGTGCCAAAGGTGAGCAGCAATCCCTCCGGGCTGCAGGGCTGGGGGGTGATGGAGACGGTGGCATGGTGGGCACCCTGGGGTGGTCCTTGGCCAGGGACAGCATGGTCTGTGTCTGTGGGTGGCTTCCGCCATGGTGCAGGCAGGGAGGAGCAGGACTCGCCCTCAGCTGGAGTCCAACTGTGGACCTCATTCAAGAAGTCTTTGTCCATGGGAAAGATGCAAAAGGCCCTATTGTTGCAGGATGGCAGTGGGGCCACCAACCTTCAACAGCTTTTCTCCCCTTTGCCTCTAGACCACCTGGTGATGTTGGTTGTGCTGAAGATTCTTTTTCTGACAACCAGATTTACTGTAAGTGCTTACAGTCCCCCTGCACCCTTCCCGTCTGGCACTGGAATTAAAGGCCTTCTGCTTGAGCATCCCAGTAAATTAAATCTCAATAAATAGTATTACCACTAAGTATTTCACTCTCATACTGATATGTACTGTGAAAAACTAGGGATCATCCCTTCCAGACTTCCATTTGGCTGTCTAGTGTCCTGCTGATCATGGGATGCTAATTGTGGTTCTCCCTGCAGATAACAACACTGATGGACTGGGAAGAGTTGAGGTGAGTTCATCTCTTGCAAAGGCATTCATTCATACACGCTTCCTTCCACGGTGCCAGCCCAGCCCAAGGGTCTGTGGCCGTGATGGGCACCAGGAGGATGAGGCTGCTGTCTTTTGTATTCTGAAGGTCTCCATGCCAAACTGCTCTGAAGCTTCACTGTACGCCAACTTATGAGAAAGCGAGCCATGATGCAGCTGTCTTCTGAGTTAAGCAACACCAGACAGAGCGTTCACGTGGATCTTTGCTGTCTCTCCCTCTCCCCTCTGTGAGGATCTGTGGGCATTTTCTGGACATTCCTGGCGGGGCTCGGATGGCTCCTTCAGGAGTTGAAGTTCTGCCAGTCCCCACACATTTGGGCCTTTAGCTCTCCTGGATGAAACTTTTGCTTGGCGAGATCTCAGAAGATCCCCAGACCCTTCTCCACCCAAACACCCTGCTCCCAGCTCTGCGGAGATCATCTTGTGCGGGCTGGGAAGGTGTCCACACAGGTCCATTGGGAGAGGCAGAGACAAATGGGGAAAGCATGGAAGATAGGCGAGTTGTAAAGAAGAGCATGAAGTTGCACCCTGTTGGGGGAGACAAAATGGAAATGCAGGCTAGGCCTTGGAGCAGGCCCCTCAGCATGAACACAAGTACTGAGAGGCTCCTGCTAGGTCGACCCTGGGAAAAGTAGAGTTCATGTTTCTTCTAGGTAGTTAGAAGAGTGCTGTGTCTGGGTTTTAGCGTGGGGGCTGTTATGAGAAAAATGCTGATAAGCACACTGATGTTTTCGGCTGCTGCTGGAAAAGAAGAAAGCAGGGAGACTGCCAGGTGTGCACAATTAGCGTGTGAACACGCGGTGGTGTTAAGGTGGTAAGCAAGCGCTGGAACTTGATGGAAAGTACTGCAACTTACGAAAGGGACATAAGCAGCCTGCGTGCTGAAGTAAAGGGTCTGAGCATCACCCATGATCTGAGTCCGTGCCTCAATACGTCACAGCACCCCAAAGAGAAAGGAGCTGCTGTTGCCTTATCTGCGGCGAGGTGTCAGGCGGAATGCCCCTCGAGATCGGCTGTCTGTCTCCAGGGGTTGTTACTGAATGTTGGTGCCACAGGGCTCACGTGGGGACACAAAACCAAGCCGGCTTTGAAAGCTGCAAAGCTCTATTTAGTGGAAGCCTCAAATTTAATGCAACCTGTATCTACTAACAAATGATAATTTTGGCGCAAGAACACAGGTGCCCCTCTGATCTTGCATGGCATTTTAACACTCCAGGGGCACGGTCAGGTTTGGCTACAGCCAGACCAAAAATGGCTTTTGGCTGGCGTTTAGGTTTGGGAAGGAAAGCAGAGCCAAGATGAAAAAGGAGGGGGAGTAACCTCTCCAGCCACCCCTTTGTATCTATAATGCTGTCTTTGGGCAGCTCAAGCCCATTCCTGAAGGAGTGTAGAAGACAGAAGTGCAGTCAGTGATAGAAATCCATAGATGTTTATTCTTCATTTGAGCAAAAGCACATCATCATGGCACACAGCTATTAACAGAGACTTGCACATCGGCGCCTGTGCATGTGTGTGCCTGTCTATACATATGACCCTCTGTGTGGGTTGATATCAGAGCACACCGGCAGTTACATCGCGCACTTTGTGTACACACACTGCATTTTACACAGTGGGACGGAGATGTCCTCTCGTGTGGTACTCACGCAGACATTTCCAAAATACGTCATATATTCTGTACGTACTTCTATAGCACACGTTGTAAATACGTGTGGAAGTCACAGATACACTTTTGGTTCGAGTCATCCAGAATACATGTGTGATGTGTGTGGGAAGGTCTGAGCACAGTGGAAGGTCTGGGTGTGACATGTTTCATGGACAGGGCTTGTGGGCAGGTATTTCCCTCCCAAGCGAAGAGCTGGCAATTCCCCAGCAAGAACTTTTGAGGACGAGCTGAGGGGTTGGCACACGGTGGGTTCATGGCGACGGGAGCCTGCAAAGCTCCTTCTAAAACCTGATCTGCCTGGTGGGTGGGAATGGGGTTGGGAAAGCAATGGTGGAGAACACGGTCTGCTGCAGAGCTGGGGGAGCGTCAGCAAGGTGCCCAACACACAGCCCTTCCCCCCGACAGCAAACCCCATGCAAGTCCGACCTGGACACCCCAGCCCCAATTTACCAGCGCGGGAACTCTCTGCCAGAGAGAAAAGGCCAACGTGGGCAATTCTCCCCAGGCCCTTGCCAGGCTGGAGCGCTATCTGCACTGGCTGCGTGCGTGGCTCAACATGGCATACGTTGTGGTGCTGTGCATCTCTTGTACGCGAGGCTTTCAAGGGAAAAATAAACCATGTTATTTCATTTGCTGGCCACAAGGCCTGTGCAAGCATCTGGCCCTGGGCTACCGGACTGCTGAAGGGAGCTGTGCACTTTGGAAAACCAGGCTGGGTTAACAAGGGAGCAAAACTAATAGCAGATTTGGGGCAGTACTGAGCAGTTTCTCAGTGGCCCCTTATTTCTTCTTGGTTGTTGTTTTCCCACAGTTAATTTCGGTGGGGTTTTTTTTGTTTTTTTTTGTTTTTCTGTTTTTTTTTTCCCCTCTTGAAAACTACCAAAATTTTAGATCAGACATTTAGGCATGAACCATTTTTCCAGGGAAAATATCTGCAGAAGATGTCAAGGGGAAAAAAATGGTATTTGGTGTAGAAAAATTTCTCCTTGTTGGAGAAGGGCCGCCCTTTTCAAGCAGAAAGGGTCATCGAGTGAGGTGAGATGTGGGCAGGTGGGCACAGAGAGAAACGTCTTTTTCTCCAAGTGCAGCCCTTGAGTTCTCGGTGGGAATGGCCCCGTGGGACGCCCCAGCCCAAGCCAGCAGACCCCAAGCAGCACATGCCACCCCCGGGGCCCCGCTTCCTGGTTCGGCACCAAAGCTGTGCCATGACTCACCCTATTCCGTCCAACGTGGGCGACCGTGGAGTCTGGTGGGGGGCAAAAGCCACACTGTTAGCCCTTGCTTCCCATTCTGGGGAGGGGTGAGACCCACCCTGTCCTTGAAGAGCAGAGCCCCCGGGGTCAGGAGCGAGTCCCCTGCCCTCCTCCCACCCTAATTTCACCCAGCTCCTGGCAACAGAGCAAGTTGCCCTTTGTCTGTGGATGTGGAGCAGGGATGCTGGGGGTTTGCTGCATTTCCCCCAGCCCGTGGCATCCTGTTCCTTTGAGCAACCAGCAGACCTTTATCTGCGGCTCTGTGCCCACGTGGGGAACCTAAGAAACCCTGCAAATAGACCGAGGGACACGGGCGGTGGGGAGATATCCCCCTTCCCCCACCCACTGAACGCCCCTTTGCTGCAGCCTGTGGTTGCAGAGTCAGCAAGGAGACAAATGCACCCACATCCTCAGCTGCTGCACTCTGCTTTGAAGCAGAAATGATCACAAAGTAAAGAGGTAGAGGGGGAAACCCACCAATCCCGGTGGAGCTGGGCTGCAGCCGGGGACCAGAGCGTGTAGGGAAAGACCCTGCCAGAAAATGGCATTGGTCACCTTGCGTGTCGGGCTGCTGTCACCTTTCTTCTGCAGGCAGAAGCTGGGCTGTACGTGCAAGGAAGAAGCGGGGTGCAATGTAGCCGGGAGAAATGTGCCCTTGATCACCGGGCAGTTGTTTTGCATCTCCAGCTGGAATGTTAATTGCTGGGAGTGCTTGTGGACTTGTGAAAGGCCCTGTGTGTCAGTGCAAATGAGAGGAGCGGCTGGAGAGAGAGAAAGGGGTTTGGGGGCATTTCCCTGGAAATCTGTGCAGCTTCTGAGACTGCGGCACCGCCAGTCAATGGGCACAGGGGTGCTGCTGCTGCCAGAGGGTACTCACACTGTACTTCGTCGTGGTCGGCCAGTTCCGTCTCTTGGCTGGGAATGTGCTGCTGCCTGGCAAGAAGGGTGAAAAGGTTTTAGGGTCTGTGCCAGGTTGTGATTGGCCAGTTCTGTCATTGCCGTGGATGAATTTATCTTGCATTGGATGAACAGCTGGAGTCAATCTGTGGGCAAGTCCTGCTCTTCCCTGCCTGCACCATGGCGGAAGCCACCCACAGACACAGACCATGCTGTCCCTGGCCAAGGACCACCCCAGGGTGCCCACCATGCCACCGTCTCCATCACCCCCCAGCCCTGCAGCCCGGAGGGATTGCTGCTCACCTTTGGCACCTCTCTCTGCAGGCCACTGCAAGAAAAAGAAAGGGAGGGGTAGGGAAGCAGAGTTACTGCTCGGCATCGGCTTTCCATGTGCTGGGCTGCACGATGAAGATGATGGGCTGGAGCTCCGCAGCTCACTCAGGGAGGGACTTGCCCAGCCCAGCCCAGGCATCTCTGTGTCCTGTCTCCCTGACTGGCTTCTCCCAAGCTCTCAGCAGCCGTGCACAGCCCAAGTGTCGAGGAGCTGTGCTTGCTCTGCTCAGGAGAGCTGGGAGACTCCCTTTACCTGCCCAGAGGGCTGGGAGCAAATGTCTGCCTGGGGCAGGGATGCATTTGGTCTCTCCACGACTACATTGAGAAGCAAGTGTATTTACTCCAGAGTAAACTTCTTGCCCATCCTGGCATTTTTTCTCCACCCAAGTCATGCATCAAAAGCCTAAGGGGCTCGTCTTCCCATCAAATGGGAGTAAGGAGCCGATCATCCGAAACTGGCATTGGCTAAATAGCAGTGTCCCTGCATCAGGTTGTGTTATTTATGCCTGGAGGTTTATCCTCAATTTCCCTAAATCCCTCACCTTTTTTCACAGCACAGGAGATGGCTGCAGCCAGGAGGAGGAGGGAGCTGGCCGCCACTCCCAGCACGATGCCTGTGGGGAAGTTGTCGAGGAGCCCGGGATGGGGAGCTGGAGGGTACAGAAGGTGTTAGGCAAGAGGGTGCATCAGTGGGGAGAAGCAGGAGATAGCAGGACATGCCCGTAGAGCCCAGAGTCTGGTTGATGAACCTCCCTGTGTTCTGGGGTCGGCAGCCCACATCCCTCAGCCTGATTCTGGGGGACAGTGGGTGTGTGGGGAGGGAACCACTCACCTGTGGTCGGTGTCCCTGCCTGGGAGCTGGACCGGCTGCCTGGGAGGAGAAAGGGACAGGGTGAGAGTCTCCAGCTCCCCCAGGTACTGCACAACTAAGCAGCAGTGGGGAAGCCCATGATCCACCATCTATCAAGAGTTGTGATAAATAAATCAGTGGATCGCACAGCTCTGCCTCTGGATTCCATCTGTCACCACCACT